TCCTGTATTCTTTGTCAGTGAGGAAGGGGAAATCTTCATGCACAATACTGAGATAAAGCTTCAACATGGGGAATTTTACTGTGAGAAATCCTCCCATCCCTGAGTGAAATACTGCAGCTGCCTGAAGCCACAGTAGGCATCACTACATTTGGGGAAATCATGGGTGGTAGAGGAGAAAAGCTTATAGAAAATATATAGCCAGAATCTTACTGTGCAGGGATCCTGCAGTATATCCTGAGCTGCACAATAATCTCAGTGCTAGGAGCTTTCCCCAGAGTCAGGAGAGACGTGGGGCTTCCCTTGCCTCAGGAAGAGGATGAATGCCAGTCGTGCCTCTCTTTGAGTTAGCTGTGAGCTGTTTTTCTGGAATTTGCCAAGCTCTGGATTTTGCTGCCAGATCTGAAAGAATAGCTTGTAAAAATCAAGAGCCTGGTGATGCTCAGCCCAGGGTCACACTGCAGGGACTTCTCCCTAACTTTCAGCTCCTAGACAAGGATTTTGGAGGAAGTATTGGGGAGCACTGAGGTGGGTGGGTGAATGGAGGAGAAAATTCTCTCCAGTGGCCAAGAGCTGTTTCCAAGCCTGGGAGCTGGAGCTGTGGGGGTGTGGGACTCCACTGTCATGTTATGAATTCTGCTGCTCAGGGAGGGAGTTGGCCTCTGCAGTGTTGTTAGATCCCAGCTTTTAGCCCTGAATGCTGCTCATTATATGGAGTGACTCTTAACGAGAGAGATAAATACTCAGCATCCCCAGCTGGCCCTGCTGCTGCTGCTGTGTGCACATTGGGCAGATGCTGAACTCAGGTGACCCTTGAGCGTGAACTGCTGCAGGCTGGGAGGGGGAAGAAGCCAGGCTGAAGCACTCTGGAGTTGACTCAGCCACTTTTTGGGAATTGAAATTAAATTTCTAATGTGGAGGTTTGCTCAGGAGGAACCAGAGGTGTGAGGGGAAGAAGGCTCATCATGGTAACCCTGCACTCGTGTCCTGCCTGCTGTCTCCTCCTCTTCCCAAGGCTGTTCTCTGGGCAGAGTGGGGTGTGTGTTGCACACAGCTAGAAAGAACCTGGAAACTTCCAGCTGGAAATGCAGAAAGAGCAGCCAGAGACAGAAGTTGCCAGTACCCCCTGGCTGGGCTGTGCTGCTCTGGGAGCACCTGAAGATTTCCACGTGCTTGTCTCTCTTCATGTGAACTCCCAAGGACTCGGTTCAATTCAAGTGTGACCACAGTTTCCAGTTGCAGTTGAGATGGGTGAAAGCAAGCAGTGTAATGAGAGATTGCTCAGAATCCTGCAAGTTGTTCCTGGCAAGGGAGGCAGCAACATGATGGGAAGGATGTTTCTTTGTGCATTGATAAAAAGCAGAATTAGGACATGGAACATGTTCTTAAAAATCTGAAATGACCTTTGAGCTCTAAATCACTGTTAGGCCAGGGAAGCTGCTTTTGGCTGCCAGATTAGCATCAGTCCCCCTCCTTGGAGAAGGGAGTGCCTGGGAACAGATTGCTGACAGCTGTTGGAATCCAGGCTGCTGACTTCACCGAGCTGCAGTCAGGGCAGCAGGGGCTCTGAGATGGTTCAGGGCAGCAGGCACACCTCAGAGAGCCAGGAACCAGGACCTCACTGGGGGCCTAGAATGTAGTGTGGGATTTGTACAAAAAATGAGAGGGATTCTATTTTGGGAAATCACAGGTCCTTGGGGATCTGCCAGTGCCTACACAGAAAGCCTTTGCCAGGCATGAGCATGGCTCCAGATGTTTGAGGCTGGAGGGGGAGAGGGGACTCTGGGGAGCAGCACTGTGCAGATGCTGGTGGGAGGGAAGCTGTGGGTGGCCAGCACAGGGGGAGCTGTGTGGGGCTGCACCAGGCCCTGTGCCAGTGCTCTCCTCACCCACTCAGGGGCAGGAGGAGACCTGGGCCCCTGCTGGCCACCAGGGAAACGTTTCTGTCCCACTTAGGCTGGAGATCCTTGTCTGACAGGGAATGTCTTATCAGAGCTGCATCTTTGCTTTGCTGTCACCTGGCTGCAACAGCTGGGAGGGCAGGGGACCCAAGGCTTCTGACAAGGTGACAAATCACATTTGAGAAAAGAATTTGTCAGTTTTGTTCAGTTTTTGTCATAGAAAGGTCTCCTCTGCTAAGGGCTGCTCCCAGGGCTGTGCACCCCACAGCCCTGTCCTGCCCCAGGTCCCTGCCCTGGCACCTGTGTCCAGATCACTCTGCTGGAGCTGTGCAGTGACCCAGGGCCGTGCTCATCCCAGCTCTTACACCTCCAGAGGGATTTGGATTGGTACCAGCCCTGATTGGTATCAGCAGTGACTGCTCCCAGTGCCTGCAGCTCCTTCCCAGGTTTCTCTTTGTGCTGCCTCTTTCTCTGGCAGCATCCACACTCATTCCTCCTTGCCTTTGTTAGCTGGAGTTCTTGTAATCAGAGTTTATTAGAAATCCACTGGGTTTGGGAGCAGAGCTTTGGATACCTCTGCCAAAACTGAACCAGATGTATATTTATTCCTGAACATTGTAATGACATAAGAAAAACCTCTTGCCCTCTGGCAAGCCTTGGAGCAGCAGCCAGACTTGGCAACATCAGGTGGAGCTGGGAAGAGAAGTCAGCACTGCAGAGTGAAGGGCACAGAGTACAGGACACTAGAGACTTGGAGGAGGAAGGGAGTGCCCTTGGAGCAAAGGACAGGCCCATGGCTGGGAGCACCAGGCCATTCCCTCTTCCATCAGGCTGAGCCACAGGGCTGAAAGGTGACATTCCCAAAAAGCATTCCATACTAACCACAGCTCTTGTTGTGCACAGGAGAAGGGGCTGCGGTTCTGCTGCGTTCCCTGGAGCCCCTGCAGGGCCTGGAGGCCATGAGGGAGCTGCGCTCGGCCTCCAGGAAAGCCCCCAGCAGGCTGCTCAAGGACTGGCAGCTCTGCAATGGGCCCTCCAAGCTCTGCCAGGCCTTTGGCATCGACAAGGCCTTTGACCAAAGGGACCTGACTCAGGATGATGCCATCTGGATGGTGCCAGGACAGGACCCGCCGGAGGAGCAGGACGTGGTGGCCACCACCAGGATTGGCATTGGCAACAGGGGAGAGTGGGCACAGAAACCACTCAGGTTTTATTTACGGGGAAACAGATTTGTGAGTGTTGTAGACAAGAAAGTAGAGAGAGAGATGGCAGCCAGGGGACACTCCCCTGGCAGCTGACGAGTCTTGCAAGTGACCAGGGACCAGGACTTGAGCTGTGCTCTGTACAATGGCCTCAGGCTGCATCATGGCAGATGGAGGGGCTTGGGGGGTTTTTAACAATAAATGTATTTTGTCACAATGAATGGGGCAAGGTGGAGCTTTATTTGCAAGAGACTGGCATGGGCCTCCCAGCCAGAACTGAGGCTGGTTTTGGACACTTTGGACACTGAAGCCACTTTCTCCCTTGCCAACGGATCCAGGCTTAGTTGGGGTGGGTGAGAGGAGAAGGGTCACAGCTCTGGGCTGCTCCCATCACTTCAGCCCCCAGCACAGGCCAGGGCTTGGCTGCTGCAGGGAAATAGGTTAAAAACTGGGTGGCAGCAGAGCAGACTGAAAGGATGGGAGCTGGGAGAGAAGGATGTAAAGGGAGGATCTTACTGCTGTCTGCAGCTACCTCAGGGGAGGGCATAAAGACAGCCAGGCTGCTCTCAGACAGGATGAGAGGCAACAGGCCACCAGCTGGAAAACAGGAAGTTCTCATTAGCTCTATGGAAAAAATGTTCCCCATGAGGGTGGTCAGACACTGGAACAGGGGCCCAGAGAAGCTGTGGGCCATTCACACCTCCACAAACAGGGTCCTGAGTGCCCTGAGCTAACACCTTTCCTCTGAGCAGAGACCCCTTCCAGCCTCTACCTCTCTCTAATGTCCAGCTTGGAAAATAAGAATGGGTTTTTGTTCATTTTCCCAGCTGCTTTTGAAACCAGTTCAGAACTTAGCACTGTGTGAACCCCCAGTGCACTCCCCCACTGGTGCAGCAGCCTGGCCTGAGGTACAGGGAGGAAAAACCTCCAGGATTCAGGGCAGGACCTGCAGCACTGCAGCCACACTGGGTGGGTGACAGGGACACACCCCCCACCTCCACCCCCACCTTAAGGTTCACATACAATAAAAAAGCTCAAGTTTATTTTTAAATACTCTTGTCCTCATCCCATTAAAGAATTGGGTTCAGCCCCTTCTGGGCAGCCTTTTTTCTGACTGCAGTAGCTCACCTTGATGCTCAGGTGCTGGGGCTGGTTTAGACAGGGCCAACAGTGGTGTTGATCTGATTTTTAAATCACATTGGGTTTTTTGCTCTTATTTACCATCCCTGTTGCAGCTGCAGGGCCAGACTCACTGAAGGGACCCCGAAGAAGCTCCCCCAGTGGCTGCTGGAAGGTAAGTCAGCTAAAGCTCCCAGTTTCACCCAGTTGGTGTGGGCAGGTGAAGCTGTTCCTGAGAGCCTTCTGCTCTGGGCAAAGCTCCAGCCTCACACAGGCAGGGGTGAGCTGGCACAAGCTCCTGCTGTCCCCAGGCCCTGGCATGTCCCAGGGCTCTTGCCTCTTGTTCTGGCCCTGGCATGGCTGGAGGAGCAGTCCCAAAGCAGAGCAGGAAACATGGCCCTGTATCTCACTGTCCTGCTGGGTAGCTTTAACCCAGGCCAGGATCCCTGTCTGCAGCCACAGCCATGCTTGTGGGACAGGGACTGGAGGGACAAAACAAACCCTGGGGGACAGCCCTGAGTGCCCTCAGCAGCAGCCTCTGGCTGGAACACATCCCTGAACTGTCAGCTTGGCCAGCACCTTTCAGTCCTGCTCAACAAGCAAGCTCCCACCCCAGGCACAAACTGGGAAACAGGGAAACCCAGGAACACTGAGGCTGCTTGGTGACAGCCCTGCTCCAACAGACACCTGGGAATGAGGACATTGGTGACAGCCCTGCTCCAACAGACACTTGGGAATAAGGATATTGGGGTGAGGAAAGAATGAGCTGTGACACAGTGACTGAGTCATTCATTCATGATTTCATGTTTACTTGTGATACCTTGCCTTCCCACCTGTCCTTGGTGCTGTGAGATCAAACAGAATTCCTGGGTGCCCAGAATGATTCCCTAGGAGCCAGAGTGATGCCCTAGGAGCCAGGGTCATGCCCTGGAGCCAGCCCAGCTGCCCTGTGCCCCGGAGCAAGGCCATGCATGCTGTGCCATGGGGACAGGCTCTCATGGCCAAGTGTCCCGTGCTGGAGGGCACAGGAAGCACTCCCAGTGTCCCCCCAAAGTTCTGCCAGCAGCACCACAGCAGAACCCTCCTGTCCCACTCTGAGGGTCCCTGGAAGGGCTGTGAGTGTGGCAGGGCAGGGATCCAGGCTGAGCAAGCACGTACTGTCCTGCAGCAACCCCAGAGGCTCGGGGAGCAGCTGGGACATCGAGGCACAGACAGGGACAAACCTGCTGTGTGTCACATGGCTAGACAGAACTGAAACCACCTCCTGCAGATTTCAGGCATCCTTTAGGCTCTCAGCATGGAGAGCATGGCAGGCTCCTCCCTCTGTGCCAGCAGAGTCACTTGAGGAGCGACTGGAAGACGGAGATGACGGGGTCCTCGTGGCTGGTGACCACCAGCACGCTGCGGAACTTGTCGAACAGCATCAGCAGCTGCGAGCGCCGCATGTTCTCGTTGTACATGATCTCCTCCAGGTGGTGCCGCCCGCGGAAGTAGTGCAGCAGCCTGCAGGGGGCAGAGCGAGGGAGCACGTGGGCCAAAGCAGCTCAAACTCATACTGCACCCCCAAGGTCTCCTCTCCCATGGCATGCAAATCACGAGGTTGTTTGGGTTATGTCCTTCATTTGCATGAAAAGGGAATTAAATCATGCCTAGCACAGAAATCCCCTGGAAAAGGATGGGACTTGCCCACTGTTGGGCTTTGCCAAGGTTCTCCTTGGATCAAGAGGTTTCCCAGTCTGGGGCATTTCCCAAGACTGTCAATTTTCAACTTAGTTATAATTCCAGAAAGTGAACAAACACAAGTGCCAACGAGCCTTGAGAAGTCAGGACGTGCAGATTTATTCTGTGCTCTCTTGGCTAAGCCTACAACTGCCCTTTGTCACAGCTCTGCATCAGGGCCTGGGTACTTGCACTGCCTTTTAGAATTAAGAGCTGTTTTCCATCACAGCAGCCCAAGGGGCTTTGTAACTACAGGTCCTGCACTCAGGGTTTGGGCAGCTTGGATTGGGTGGAGCAGTCCCAACAGGGAGATGGAAATTTTGGTGCTAGGCAGCACAGAGAAGCTGTGGGAGTTACAAATCCCCTGAAGCCCTAGCTCAAAACATTAAATTCCCTATTCTCTTTGTTAAACAAAGACAGCAGAGATAACCCTTTGCTACAGCCATCAGAAAACCATGGCTCTGCACACTCAGTCACAGTAGGTCCATGACAAACAGCAGAACTCCCCAGTGGCTGAGGACCCCTCCCCAGAGTTCCCTCTGAGCCATAACACCAAGGCAGCCCCCATGAAGCCTGGGTTTGCTGCTCAGCCTCTTGTCTCAACACCCTCCCAAGTGACACAGCCGTGCTGTGACTCAAATACTCCCCACTCTGTGAGGGCCCAGAGTCCCTTCCCAGCTCCACAGCCAGCTGTGCCTGCACGTGTGTTCCACATCACTCTGTGCTCCAGCAGCCTCTGCTCATGTTCCATTACCCAGCTGCAGCTTCATGCCAACTGACTATAAAGTGAGTGGAGATGACATGATCTGTTTTCCAATGCATTCATACAGCCCCCATGCAGGAACAGCTCTCAAAATATTCCCAATACCCACTGGAGCACTCTGGCCTGTTTTGGAGGATGGAGAAAAGCTCCTGCTTTCCCTGCAGGACCAACACCTGCCTGGCTCCTCCTGCTGCTCAGGCTGGGCACTCCTGTCACCCACCACCCTCACAGGTGACTGCAAAGGAGGCACTGTACAAGTGTCCCTCCATCCCATGTCCCACTGCAGAGCTTTCACCTCTCGCCCAGTGCTACTGGTGTTTCTCTGCTTCCCAGCTTGCCACATCCCTCCTCTCCCCACGAGCTGTCTGTGGGCTCAGAGCAGGATCCCCACTGGCAGCCTGGGGCTGGGCAGCCCCCACTCCCTGCCAGCTGCTCCTGCTGTTCCTCTGCCAGCTCTCAAGCTGGCACCAGCATGGAGGTCACTGCTGCCTCTCTGTACTTGCAGCAGCAGCAAACAGAGACAAGCTCCAGTCTTTGCTGGGTGTGGGCTGTGCCTCTGCCTTTTGCACTGTCTCCCACTGGTACTGACATGAGGCTCACTGGCCACCCCCCTGGGCCAGTGGCAAATGTGTGCCCTGAGAAGTGGTCACTCACAGGGACAGTGTCAGTGCTGGGTGTGTCAAAGCCAGACTGTTCCCACATGTGGGAACAGAAACATTTGTATTTTACAGCTCACCTCGCAGTTCTCAAAGCGATTTTGAGGATCCCCTATGCCAGGCTCCTGTGCCCATGTGCTCATACCCTGGCTCAGCTCTCTCCCATGCAAATGGTAGGACCTGGCTTTCCACAGCAGCACAGACTGAGCAGTTTGCCAATAAATAAATCCATCTTATATTCAGAAAGAGTCTGGATTTGTAACTGGTCAAGACTAAATACTTTCCACTCCAATAAAAGCTAGAGAGGATATTAAAGAATATCACAAAAATGCCAGCTGGAAAACACCCCCAAAGTCTAGCCCAGCATCCTGCTGCAGGAGGACTATTGCTAATGCTGTGGAGCTTTTTCAAACCCTTCCAAGATGGAGATCCCTCCAAATGCTTGGGCAATCTGTCCTGGGCTCCCACACTCCCAGGGAGGAGGTTTTCCCAAAAGTCCAACTAGAATCTACAGGGCTGTCCTTGGGGCTCACAGCTCCAGAGAAGGTGGGCACTGCCCTCACCTTTTTGGGCAAGGGACATTTATGGGACACAATCAGCATGAGATGGCACTTCCTGGGGCACCAGCACTGTGTTTGAGTCCCTCAACACTGTCTGCTGACAGATGTGCACATCCAGATGCAGTGATGGAAGATTACTGCTTTCCACTGCTCAGCACTGTTTTCCCCTCCTCAGATTGCAAGAGCTGCCCGTCCAACAGCATTGGAGTGTTCCTACACACTAAAAAGAAAAGAATTCTCTCACACTAGCATTTCAAATAGAATTAGCTTGTTCCTGGCCAAGGAGATGTCCCTGCCACAGCACTGCTTGAAACCAGAGCAGAAGTGTGCAGAGCTCAGTGCTGCCCATGAGCATTCCTCAGGGGAGGGAAGGACCTCACCTCCCAATCTCAGAGCAAGACAAATAAACCCTGAAAGCAGCTCCACACCCATGGCTTGGGAGAGAAGCCATGAGTGAAACCTCCAGCTCCCTCAGCCTTCAAAAGCACTGCTTAATGTCAGTGAGGAAGGCTTGGTGCACATTACTGAGGATCTAGCTCAAAAAGAACTCGTCTCCTCCTCCTCCTGGACGAACATGCCAACCCTCCTGTAATTGCAGCTTAGGAAAGAACTTGGATTTAAATTCCCATTCAGCGTTAGGAGGGTTTATACAGCCAATGCTGGAGCCAAGCTTTAGTAATTCCTCATTTCCTCTTAAGGTTTCTGCCTTCAAACACAGGCTGTGCACAGCCCTGGGCAGGCACCAGCTCTCTGGGCTGCTTGTGTGACAAGGGACAGGCACTCAGAGGCAACAGCACAGGAAAATGTGCCAGGCTGAGCTTTACTGCTGTGCTGGGAATGGCCCATCCCTCTGTGTGCACACACAGCACCCTGGGAAGGGCAAACCCCACAGGATATTTGGGGCAGCAGTTGTGCATTTCCAGCACTTTGCTCTGAAGGCAGTGTGAGAGCAGAGCTGCTGGCAGGGCTGGAGCAGTACCTGCACGAGGGTAATGAGGGAGATCAGCTCCTTCAGGCAGCTTCACCATGGCTTTTTCTCTTTCATTGAGAGCAACAGATTTACTCACTCATCTCTGATGGTTATGACACAAACCCAGAGAAAATACACCTACAAGTTGTGGTGTATAAAACCAGCAGTAACCAAGAGGCTCTGGCATGAACATCCCTACATGTGCACTGCAGCATCTGCCCACAGGACCCATCTGTTTATTGTTTATTTATTGGTTAATCTGTTTGTTCCTCACTGTTGCCTCAGAGCACTCTGCACTTGTCAATTCAATCTGTAGTAGACTGGAAATTCTGACCTGGTAAGGCCTGGGGATCTGCAGAACCTGGGGCAGGAGTAAAAGCACAATAAACATCACTGAGCTGGTTTCACAAAGAAACTGCAGATGCAAAATTGCATCTGCAATTCCCAAGCTTCCAAATGGCTCTTTTACCCAGCTGAGGGTATCAGAGGGGAGCAATCACCACATCCTTTCCTCTCACTGAGATAAATTAAGAATCTGCATCACCACTGAACTGGTCCAAGGAGTCCCCCACAAATTCTGTCTTAAGATATTAAATATGATTTTGTTGCTATTATCCTTCCTCAGTTTTGTAATGACTTAGCTGGTAATAAAGAGAAAAATCACTTCAGAGTTCTCAAGAGGCCAATGTTGCCTCCCAGTCGGAGCATATTCTCTGAAGAGTTGCAGAAGATGAAGGAGACAAATAATTCAGAGAGCAGTAACTATCCACAAGTTTTGAGAGCTCTGTCAAAGTCCCTCAGCTGTACTCTGCCACAGACAAGGAAAGCATCTTCCTGCTATTACAATTTCCCTGGGCTACCTCCCTGTATCCATCCTAGGGCAAGAACCAGGTTTTCAGGGTATCACCAACTGAATCCAAAATATGGAACAGCTGCAGTCCTTGCCTCAGGTGGTTTTCTGCTCCACAAGTATGAAAATCAGTGGAAGTTGCATTCCAGTGATGCCACAGAGTTTTGAAATCCTTTGCAAGAAAAAGTATTTCCCCTCCTCCCTGCTTCCCAGATGGCTGCTTAGGAAGTCATTCTGCTTTTACCACGTGCAGAACCACACAGTGCCTGGTTCTGTTAAGTGCAAATGTGTAACAACAAAATGTGTGCTACTGATCACACATCCTAATGCCTTTGGCTTAGCTAAGCTAAGCAGTGAGCTCTCATCACTGCTAAACACACCTTGGGACACTCTGTAAAAGTATTCAGGCTGGCTCTGGGTCTCATGTTTCCATGGAGTTTACAAACCATAAAATTAAGGAGAGCTGGCTTGGAAATACCAATGGACACAAAATGGCAGCATCACATCCCTGGGTCTCTGCCTTGCCTGCTGAGATGGGATTTTTAGGCTGTGCAGTTTTGTGCCTGCCATGTGTGGACAAGGAAAACTGGCAGGACAGTGAAGTCCACCCCTACTCCCTGATGCTCCCTCACACCCCCAGGACTCTCTGTCATCAAGTGTTCTTGTGCCACCAATATTAGTTTGTATTACAGATGAAATACAGGAGCAAACCCAAAAGAATTTCTCCTCCAAATGCCCTAACAGGCTAACAGGATTTGCTCAGACTCCACACCAATCCTTCCATAAAGCAGGAGGAGCAGCAATGGTTGCACCCTGCCCTGCTCACCTTGCAAACATGCGGAGATCCTCTGGGTTCTGGGCAGCTGGGACGTTCAGGATGGCTTCCCTCTCGTGCTCCAACAGGCTTGCCAGGAGATTCTCTGTCATCCTCTTATTGAGGGGTGAGTCCCCACCAGGGATCAGCTCAGCACTGGAGTTATCCATGCTAGGGCTTGTCAGAGTCATGTCATCACTGCTGGCTATCAGAGAGACACACATACACATGAAATTTTTGTATTCCTCAGCATAAGGATGCAAAGTTCATCAATTCAGGCTGTTTTGTGCAGCCTTTCCAACTAATCCCTCTTCTCTGGAGAGCAGAGAAAGTGGCTCTCCAAGTGCTCCATGAATCTGCAATTAGTCATATGACAACACAGCGATTTTCTCAATGGGAAATTCAAATGTTTCAACAGAGTCATCAATTTGTGTGGAAAACTGTATTTCTGGAGACCATAAACAGTCCATAAAAAACATTTGAAAAGAGAATTCCCAGACAGCTGTGCTGGAATACCATGAAGTGGTAACATGAAAAGCCTAACAGCACAGAAGGTGGGAGCAGGCAGAGAGGCCAAGAAGCAATATCCTCTTGTGAGGGAGCCAGAAAAAGCAGATCACAGACTCATCTGACTCACTTTCCAAGATTTCTGCCCTAATTCATTACTCCTGTAAAGCTCAAAGTTGTACAGAGGATCTCTCCCCATATCCAAAGCCCAGTGGTGTTCTGAGAAGGCTGCTCAGAACAGCCCAAGCAGGAAAGTTTGGTGATTTCAGCATTATATCTGACTCATCCTCTTGAAAGAATGCTTTCCTGGAATCACCCTGAAGAATGGCACTGGGGAGATTAAAGAAATCAGGGGACACAAACAGAAATCAATCATGTGTGAGAACAAAGCCAGCTCTGTGTCTCCTCAGGTGGCTCTAATGGCTCTACAGCCCACAGAAACCAACGCTGCTTGAACAAATTCTCCATCCTGAAAATCAGAATCTGCCAGAGGAACACAGGGGATACTTCTGAGTGCAGCAAGGGAGGACAAAGCTAATTTTAAAAACAAAGAAATACCTCTCATAAAAGCCTTTTACACGACCAGATGAGAATTTGGCAAATTACAAAGCATTACTTTGTGGATGCCATGAGACAGAGAGAGAGAAATGGCGTTTCTCACAAGCCGCTGTGAGAAACACTTGCTGTTTCTCTCTCTCTGTCTCATGGCATCCACATTACTTCTTTCTAAAAAGAAGCCCAATAGCCCCTAGGACTTTCACCAGTGCCCAGCTCTAAATTTAGGAAAGGCTGCACCTAATTAGCAAGTGGAGATTCTCACTACCAAGGCCTGATGGACTTTGGCAGCACTAAGGGAAGCTGTAGAAGTGAGATGGTGTCTGAAAAGCAAAGGAAAGTGTGCTCATACTTGGGGAGCCAAAGCTGAGAGCGTTGGGGGTGCTCAGACTCCGTCCCCCCACCCTGGCAGTGAAGGGCATGTCCTCGTCCTGCGCTCGGAGCTCCTCCTCCTGCGGGGGCACCATCAGGCACACGTAGGTGTGCAGCTGGATCAGCAGCCGGTGCTGCAGCATCCAGATCACCATCTGGATCAGCTGGGTCTGCAGGGGGACAAACGAGGGGTTAAACACATGGGAAATGAGATCCAGGAGGAAAACAACACACAGAGGGAACGCTTGGTGAGTAAGGAGGCACGTGGGAAATGCTGCTAGCCCCACACAAGAGTTTTATCTCTTTTCCAGTCACAAAAAGGTGACCAGACACAAAACTTCTTCACACCCAGAGCCTCTGTGGGTGCTGAGGCTGCAGTGGAGCCTTTCATGATCCACACCTTTATGCAGCACTGACCAGCACAGCCTGAAGAAACCTGCCCTGCCCCTGCCTCAGCTCCAGGGCACTGCTGGTTCTACACAAGGGCCACTAAAATAAATCACCAAAGGGTTAATCCCACACGGTCAGATTGAAGTGCAGGCTCCTCTAGAGAGCCAGAGAGAGGACAGGGTGATGGGCAGAGCTGAAGCAAGCAGGGGATGTGGCCAGGAGCCCTTTGCTGATCAGCCATGGGAGAGCCCTGGAGATCAGAGCCTGACAGGCCTGGGCAATACAGAAACAGCAGCACCAAAGCCCTGGCAGGGGACAGCAGCCTGAGCTGCCAGGAGTGCCCTCTCCATGCAGAGTCACCATCCCTCTGCTATGTAGGGCCAAGCTAATAAAGGCACCTGGGTTTTGAGGCAGGCCAAGACTCCAAAGCAATGAGATGCATTAAACATTGCCCAACACCTGCTGGAGATCTGCACCATGGGCAGAGCAAGGGACAAGGGTTTGTAGGGTCTGCTCTCAGAAATCTGGGAGGAGCCTTCAAAGTGCATCATTGTGTCTTGATTCCTGCATGAAAAGCCTTCTCATATCACTGCAGGCAGCTCTCATAGCAAAGGGCTCAGAACACAATCACTGACAAGGCTGCTTGGGGATTTCATAGCAACCAGCACTGTTTTGGTGAGACAAACACAGGCAGCATGAGCTCAGGCTCAGAAGGAAGCTCCCCCTGCTGCATTAATCATCAGGGTAACTCGCCAAATCACAAGAAAAGCCCCAAACCCAAGTTCATCAGCCCACATAATTTTCCTTTTTCCATAAATCTGGTAATTCTCAGTTCCTCCTCTGCTATCAAATCACAAAAGAAACCTCTCTGTTTGCAGACAGACCCACACCCTGTCTTTTCAGAGATTACCACTTCTGGAGGCTCAGTGGATTTTAATCTTAAAACTTTTTCTCTGGGATCACCTTCAAACATGTATTTTTTGGAAAAGCCATAATTCATTTTACATGTTTAACAGAAAATCTACAGCAGAAGAGGAAGGTTGGCAAAAGACACCAAAGACATCATGCTTTGCTAACATCTGAAGCCAGCCTGGAAGAGTGGGGTTTACTCCAGCAATTATGTTGCTGAAATCCTTCCTTCCAGATGCAGGCCTGGATGGAAAGATGGCTCATTTATTTTACTTAAATTTCCAACCTGTTGGCACGTCTGATTAGCAAATGAAAGAGGTCTGCACGTTTCAGAGCACAAAACAAGCCTGGAAAAATGCAAGGAGACAGGAAGACAGGCTCTTCCAGTGGGTAGGGCCTGACCCAGAGCAGCCTCCCCTGGGCACTGTGGTGGTCCCATGAATTACAAAAATAGCCAATTGCTTTTGTTGCAGCTCCATGTGCATGGAGAGTCTAATCCTGCACATGCACCACCACCTCTACCTCCACACCCTCGTGGAAATACCTAGAAAGCCACCCTGAGCCAGCAGCTATGGCCCAGTGGAACCTGAGCCAGGCAGCAGAGGTGTTACAGCCTTACAGCCACAACCTTGTGCAAACAGCCCCTGCCAAACACCTTTGTGCACCTCTGGCTGGGAGAGCTGGGGCTACCCTGAGAACCAGAGGAAACTCTTCTTCCATCCTGAAGTAAACTTGATCATCCCTAAACCGGAGACTGATGATCCCTGACATTTTTCTGTACAAGCCAAACTTCAGCAGGAATTTGGTACCTCTGAAATCCCAGTCCTGGAAAAAGCCCAAGTGCTGCAGCATGCTGCCCTGGCCCTGCCCATGTGAGGAGCTTTGTGCCACCACTGCAAGTGCCTCACACCATCCCCACTTCCTCCAGGGTCAGACCCATTTCTTACCAAAGGCAGAAGTGTTTTCATAGATCAGCTCTAGCAGAGGCTTTGCTAACACATTCTGCTGCCTGTGCTTCTGGACACCAGCACTGCATTTCCCTCCATTCTCCAGCTGCTGCTCCCAAGCTGCCATGGAGCTCACCCAGGGCTGCAGGAGCAGAGGTTTCCCTGTGCTGTGCTGCTGAAATGCTGCTCTTCCCCAGAGGGGCAGGGTTCTCCCTGTGCCTGCTCTCAGGGCACTTCATTGGAGCTGGGCTCCTTGCTGAAGCCACATGGGCTGGGAGCAGCTTTCCAGGCAGGGCTGTACTTCTGGAATCCAGAGCCAGCCTTTTTTGGCTGAAACACCAGGACTGTGATGGAAATACAAAGTGAAACATTTTCTGTTGCTTCATTTAACTACCAATTCAATCTAAATTTTATCCATGTTCCTTTCACGCTTCCTGTCTGCCCGTGCTGCCTCTTTCCAGCCTGCTCAGAGGGGATCCTGTCTGCAGCAGCCACATCTGGCTTGTTCCTGCTGGCACAGAGCAGCCCAGGGCCATTCCCAGAGCAGTGCCAGGCTGTTGTCATGCAAGGCACTGGGACAATGTCCTGCTCTGTGCCCACTGGCACAAGCAGAGATGCTGCACTGGCTTCCAAAAACACAGCACTGCACATCAGCCCAGCTGGGCACTTCAGCATGGCCAGAGGAAAGCTCAGCCCCAACATCCAGCGTTCCTTATTCTCTGGGACCATTTGTAAAACTCTTGAGAAATGTGTTACATTTCCTGCAAGGATTTTTTAAGGCTGTTTTCTTTCCCAGGCCTAAAAAGTTAAGGATAACTGGGAGCAGCACCAGGTTCAGGAAAGGGAAGGGAGAACAGCAGCCTAGAAGAACTCAATCCCAGTTTGTTTCTCACCATGTGAGGAGACAGTGCAAATACAGCTTGCTTTGCCTACTGAAGCACACAAGCCCCTTTTCTCCAGCCTGGATTATCCAGTTATTTGATACAAATCCTCTTCAAGGTCTGACTGGAGAGCTGAGGGCTGCCTTGGCTCAGCATGATGACACCTTCAAAGCCACTGGGGTGCAGGGATGTTTGCTGACATGTATTACCTTCCTTTAGCATTCAAACCATGCTGCTTCATGGAAAACACATAGGCTATGAAAACTTCTCCCTGTTTTACAGGAAACAGACTCTGCAAACTCCTCCTGATGTAGAATGAAACACTTACTGTCTAATATTGCCATTTTAATCATTAGTTAACAGCTGTGAATCCTCAGCTTAACCATTCCCTCCATTCAGGCCTAGCATGACATTTTCTTTTAACTTACTGTGCTAAACCCCTGACTTTATACCCAGCCCAACTGAATATAAATGCATCTTAATCCCATTTCCCTACTTCTGCCAACAAAAGCTCCCTGATGTCTTGCAGCAGAGCAGCCCCATGTGCAGCGTGGCTCCCTGAAGACACAGCTGCCCATTCAGGGTGTGCAGGCAGCTCTGCTCCCCTCCCACTCCATCCCCTGACACATTTCCCTGCCTCATTTTCCATCAGCCCTGCACAAAGCTTGACATGTTTTCAGCAAGCACAAGGCAGAGGCCTCATCTCCCTGTGCCTGACTCCCAGACTGAAACAAAAGTGAAAAGTTAAACAGATTTTGTTCAGCAGCAGCTGTCTTTGCTTTCCCATCTGTTGGGGTTTCTTTTCTGCACTTATCCACATCCCCTCAAGGGAGAATTAAAGAACCACAACAATAATGACAATGTGCATGATGATAAAGGAGGTGCAGGAAGGAAATGGGATGCCTAATTCACCTGGGAACACTCAGGTGAGAAGATCCCTCCTGCTAGTCCCTGTTTGTTCAAGGCAGGGCACAGAGGTGTTACAGCTTCTGAAGCAGATAAATTGGCTGAGGTTACAGTGCAGAGGAGGGGGAGCCACAATCATCATCCCTGACTCTTGGTTTGCAAAGCACCTTCATGCACAGTAGCCGGGGAAAGAAATCTGATGCTGGACAAAGAAATCCTTTTTCTGAACAGCAGGTAAAGCCTCCCCCTGCCTGGGACAGATCCTGGCAGGGAACAGCGCTGACCTGAAGGCTTTGGGTCACCAGGTGCTCCTGTGCTCTCCCAGGGGGTTTGGAAGGGGTGCAGACTCCCAGAAAGAGGAGAGCACAGGGGCAGGAGCCCACAGGCAGCAGAACAAGGACAGCTGCTTTGGGCTCGGGGTAGGGGAGATGCAAACTGCTCCTCTTCCAGCAAAAACACCACAAGTGAAGATGAGTTCCCTCTGGTGTGAGCTCACAGATCTCCCAACCCTGTGGCTGCACCCTGGTGAGATCCAGGACAAACCCAGGCACTGCAGCAAGTCCAGGTGGCACGACAAGTCACAGTGGGGACAACTCCCATTGTGAAATGGGGGGAACAGCTTCTGCTTCCCTCACACCCCCCAGCTGCACAAGAAATCACCTCCCTCACTCTGTGCCAGCCCTGCAGCTCACTGGATGGGTGAATTCCACCTGCTCACCTGGCAGAACCCTTCTGCAGCTGGAACAGGTTAAATGAACAGAGGCAGAGCTCTAGGAGAGGGAAGGGAGGAAGGCTCACATGTGCACACACTGGGAGGGGGGAGGAAAAGCAGGGCCTCAGCTCCACAGCACTGAGATCTGAGGTCAGCTGAGCTGGGGGCAGGGGCTCATCCTCAGCCTGCTGTGTCCAAGGGAAACACAGAGAAAGGGAAGCAGCAGGGAGCCAAAAGGACACCAAAATCTCAACTAACAGATACACACTGACCAGGGTTCCACTGGAATACACTGCTCCTCACCTCAGGGAAGAATAGAGATCAAGATGACACAATCTACACTTTCAGTCTGTGGCACAGGGCACACTGAGAGCGCTGGCACACACCTCTCACCTGGCACCTCCCACCTACCTGACAGGCAGACAGCAACAGCAGCACACAGCCATGCACTCCCAAGGCAGCCCTGTCCTGGCTCAGGTTGTTCACATCTCCTGCCAGCCAAAAAATACCACAGCACACCAAGCAGAAAAATGAGTGTCACTTTTTTTCATCTACCCAAAGGGAGTGAGGAATTCCACTCATGTAATGGTCATTGAACAAAAATAACTTTGTCCCCTTTCAAATCAAGCAAGATTTTTGTATAAAAACAGGAAGGGCTCTGAGAGCTCTCCTATTTCCTATGGAGGGCTTTATTAATGCCTCCTGTATTCTTTACCCATCCAGAAGCACATGCCAAAAGCAGGGAGCCAATCCCAAGCTTAAGAGAAGAATGAAATGGGATGGATGCCATGGATGCCACGAGGCCACAGCAGTTTCTGCAGAAGATCCAGCCCTGCCACAGCACTGCCCCTCAGCACAGTGACCCTCAGGGGCACAAACACTGCCCTCAGCCTGATGAAAAGCACCAGATCACAGAAAACCACTGGAAATCTTTAAAGCTAAAAAACCTCACATCCCCTCCTGTGCACACAAAGAACAAAACTACAGAGAGAAAGTTCCACCTTTGCTATTTTTTTCAAAGGCAAAGTGAATACATTATGACAATATTTACAGTTCAGAGTACATCTTTTATCACAGCACAGTGGAACAAAAACCCACCCACATTTCATTAGATTAATTGCTGTATTGATTAGATCTTTTGTAATTACAACTGGAGCCTGACCACTTCAGGGCAGGGATTGGAGTCACGTCTCTTAAAAGACTTAAAAACAAAAAAATAACACAAGAAGTCCTACAAAGGTAAATCAGAGTAGAAGAAAATGTACTGATACAAAAATACCTAAAAACTCACTCTAATCTAAACTCCCCTAAGAGCTGTCACACTTTGCTTTATCAAAAAGCCACAACTTTTCACAGCATCACCCTCCATCCTTCCAATAAGGCTGAAAGGAGGATGAAAGCAAGCTGTGCTGGTGATCCTTAGGAGCCCAGCACAGACAGGTGAGCAGCAGGGGGAAGGCACACACTCTAAAACACACCTGAACACTCCATCAGCTCTGGTGAGCATTTATTGCACCCTTGTTTCAAGGCATAACTGCAGCAGTAAGTGACAGACACTTATTTATGTATTTTAAACAAAAGCAGGACGTCTGAGAACAATCAGAACTATTGAAGGAGAAGTATTAAGGCAAGTAATTAATTTTAAAAGGATTACTGAGAATGTCTCCTGAAGCTACTGCAGCTATAATAAAATTAATGCTATGACTTCAGCTTCAATTTTCAGGATACTTATTTGTCTGTAACTAGAGTGGAGTCCTGCTCTTCCCCTGCCTCCCAAGGTTGCAGCTGACCAGTAAATGCTACTGGAATTAGACCTACATCATTACTTATTTTTATCTCAGATCATCATCTCTGTGAACCTGTAATTACAGCCAATTCTTCCCTGCCAGCTGTGCTGGAGAGCACAGGTGATGGTAATCTCTAAATGTGAGCAGGGGCTAAAGCCATGGAGCCACCAAGGCACCCAGGTCTGAAAGGCAGGAACAAACACCAGGAGAAGGCAGCCAAAGAACTCTGCCTGTGCTTCCTCTGCCACACTGAGGCACAGCCTCAGTCCAGGCTCCTCCATCTGGGAACACAGCACAGCCAGCCAGGAGACCTCACTTTATTGAGCTCCTTCCTGTGTTCCACCAGCTCCCAGAAATGCCACAAGCCATGATCGATGCACAAGCCAAACAGCTCACAAATCCCAAATCCATATTTTATTAACACAGTTCTTTACTCTCAGAAGCTAATGCAGTGACACATGGACTTCTGCTGACCCCATGCTGAGCCTCCTTCCTCCAAAAGCCTTTTAACAATTCCACTTTTACAGCAAAACCAAGACAGATTGCTTTTAAAAACAGATTGTGAGCTTGGAGCAGATGGAATAGAATAAAATCAAATGTGATTGTGAGGAATCCACAAACTTGATTCAGCCCTACCAATTGGTAACAGCTTGGGACAGAGCAAATGGAGTTTCAATTTTCCCTACAACATCACACCATGAAAAGAAACATTCTAATACTTCTTTTAGGACTGTGCTTTTCCAGAATCCTGTCACCTTGAACATCCCCACAGCTTTTTGGCACGAGGACATGAAACAATAAATCACAAGGCTGGAAATAGAGTAACTGGGAACTTGTAAATGTGTAACAGCAGGTTCCTGAGCCAGTGCTCCAGGAGCAGCAGCATCCCTGTGGGCAGCAGAACAAGGAGCCCAGGGCAGTGCCCAAGGAGCCCAGGGCAGTGCCCAGCAGTGCCCAGCAGTGCCCAGGGCAGTGCCCAGCAGTGCCCAGCTCACCTCCTGCACGGGTGGTGCCAGTGGGTTCTTGAACTCAGCCAGGGACACGGGCAGGGAGAACTTGGCCAGCATGGAGGGCAGGTTGTGACCCCGGAACTGACAGGAGAAGGCATCTGCCAGGGGAGAGTACCTGCAGCAGAGAGGCAAAGGCACAGATCAGCTCTGCAGTGCTGCTCAGGGTAGCTGGGATCCCATTAAACACTGCACAAGTGCCAATTCCCCAGTGTAACATTCCCTGTGATCTAGAAAACCCCAAGCACAGTTGATGGCATGTTGTGTCCTGCAGAAGGCAGCCAGGAGCTCGTGCACTCTCACCTCAGCCTTACATCCAGCTCCAGCCTTTCATTCAAGGCATTTTCATTCCAGAGGAGAGAAATGAAAGGGATAAAATTCCAGACGTGTGCAGCCTCTGGTGAAAGGGTCAGAGCTTGGGCAGGGTGGGAGGGACACACACACAACCTCTGAATGTGCCAGCTGCAGTGCAGATGTGGCTGTGCCCCCTCCCTGTGCTGACAGGTCAAGAAATATGACTGAAATGAAGGACAGACAAGTTAAATACCAGAAAATCTGTCTGTCTTAGCATTTCCATCTCCAAAGGTCTTCAGGAACAGCACTGCCATATTTGACACAGGCACAGTTGTTGCTGAATGACCTCAAGGTCCCTTCTAGCCCTATTTTTATACATCCATCACCAAAGTTTTGATTTAAAACTATTTTCCTATAACCGAGTTCCAACACAGAGTCTAAAATCATCTCAAAATCCAACAGAGGAAGGGCTGCCAATCTTCAGCAGAGCAAAAATACCCTCCCCTGCCTCCACATCTTCCTTGCAGTGGCTGTGCCTCTCTCCCAATGGCCATGGTGCCTTGTGTCTGTGACAAGGCACACAGCATGGAATGGCAACTTCTGCTACTTTTGATTCATGTCAGAAAGCTCTATAAACCACTCCTTTAATTTAATCATAAAGTATTTTGGTTTGTAAATGTTCCCATATTGGACATTCAGTGAGCAGGACTACTCAAAATACTGACAGCAGCTTCCAGGGCCCTCAGCCCCACAGAGGAATATTGATCTGCTCTGCAGCTCCTCCCTGCCCACACTGGCTGTGCAAGTCCAGGCTCAGGTAATGGTTTGTGTTCTGCACAGTCTCAACAAATCCATGAAGAAAGATCCCAGTCTGTATCCAGCCAGGGAAGGAAAGTGCATCTGCACTCCTCAGCCCTGTGCTGCCACCAACACATCTTCCTTCTACTTACAGGCAGACACTGGCATTTGGAGAAAGCATGTAGACATTGTTTTCACAAAGAGGATAAATAATAATTGCTTTGCCCCAGTAAACAAGATGTGCTGCAAGCTGGAAAACCTGTATGGAGAAAACAGGGAAAAATTAGAGAAGCAAAATCAATACACAAACTCTCAGCAAGTGTTGCATACAACAGCAACAAAAAACATCTCATTTCAGTTGAAATGAAAGAAAAATGTTCCACCCTTTCACCCTGGCTTCAGAATAAATTCATGGTTTAATATAACATGTGGCAGATCAAAAAGCATTTGACAAGGTTATGAATTTCCAGAGATTCGCTTCACATTTCTAAGCAACTTAGTATTTCCTGCCTCAAAGGAATTCCTCCAAACTGTATCAATACAAGTTAAGTTTCTTTTCATGCCCCCAAAAACTATTTTTCTTTATGCACAAAATGCATTGTGTTATACATGAAAAATGAAACAAAAGAATCAGCTTCTACTATGATAGAAACATAAAGGAAACCAACACTGCCTTTTTACTGCACAGAGGTATTTCAGTAATGAGCTACATAAAGTATTTTAATGTGTTAAACAAGTCAGTGGTTGCTAATGGCTCTGGAAAAGCCACATAAATAGTGTCTACAAGACATAAAATCCAGCCTGTGCCATTAGATGCATTTAACTGTGCTTTTTTGTGGAGAACAAAACTACAGAAGCAGTAGGGAATTTCCAGAGTTCATCCCATAGCCAAGTAACACCACAGACCACTGCAGGCAGCCCTGGAGGTTTATTACAAAGCAGGAGCTTTCCCTTGGAACAGGAGGAGGCACTGCCCTATGAGCAGGAGAACATGTGATGGTGAGCTGTGCTTCCCCTGTCACACAGAGCACAGCTTGTGCCCCTGGGTCTGGATTGATCCTTGGGAGCATGGAGCTGCCCTTCCCTCTCTGGGATCATCCCAAATGATCACAGTCACCCACAGGGGTCTCTCAGTGGCCTCACAACTCATGTGAGAGCCAGAGTCTCACCCCTCCACTTCCCTTTCCAAGGGCTCATCACATCATCTTCAGCAATTCAGACTTGAGAGCTGGTTCTCACTACTGGAAGGGCATTTGGAAAGAGCTGCTGGCTTGGAGAAAATGGCTCAAAATCTATGCCCAAGCCTAAAATAAATCTTCTTCCCATGACTGCCAAGTGTGTGCACTAATGGACTAAGGGAAATGGATGGGAAGGTTTGTTCAGGCATTCACAAGTCTTTGGTAGCAAAGATCTTGGCAGCTCCAGGGGTATTTGGCCATGGCAGCTGTAAACCTGCACCTGCATTTTGGGTGCTTCATTTGCATGCAGACATTACTGTGGCAGGACCAAGACAGGCCCCTGTGGTGTCAGCCAGGAGTACAACCTGCTCTGGTTTAACTACCAAACAGCAGACACAGAGCAGACAGAGCCACTGTCCTCAGAGGGACACAGGGACAGCTCCTGAGGCAACATCCACAAGGAGAACAATGGGAAATTCCCCTTGGATAAGGGGAAAGGTTTCACTATGATGCTGGTCAGGTGCTGGACCAGAGAGGCTGTGGGAGGCAGCCCTCACAATGAGGTGCTCACAATTTGAAGTGAAGTTTTTCATCAGCCTGATTTAATGGACTTGTCCTGGGCAGTGGTGAGGACTAGAGAGCCCTGGGATGGGGGGACCAGAAACCCCCAGGATGGGGACTAAAGACCTCTGGGATGGAGACCAGAGACACCTGGGATGGAGATGAGAGAGCCCTGGGGATGAGGACTGGAGACACCTGGGGATGGGGACCAGAGAGCCCCAGAATGAGAACCAGGACCTCTGGGATGGAGACTAGAGACCTGGGATGGGGACCAGAGACCTCTGAGGATGGGGACCAGAGAGCCCTGGGATGGGAACTCCCATCTGAGATGGGCTGTGGCTGCAGAGCTGCCCAGCACTGTCCCTGCACCCCTGCCCTTTGTTCCTGCAGCCTCTCCCCAGGCTCCAGGCCTGGTACCTTCTCCCTGCTCACACCAGGAGCTGCCACGCTCCAGCCCCACACAAGCCCAGGGGCACCCAGGAGAAAACACCTCGTGATTTAAAAAGCTCTCAGCAGCTGCTGACAGCTCCCCATACCTGCAGCAATGCCAAGTCAGCATCCTGAGCCAGTTGCTGCAAATTCTTCACAGCAGAGGTAGTTTTAATTACTCTCACCAGGGCAGGAGAGCAGTCCAACGGGAGCTCATTAAGCAATGACTTCTCATCATTTAAAAGTAATAAGGCATGGTAAGGCCTGCAGAAAAATAGAATACATTTGCACAGTAAACTGCAGCTTTTCCTGAAGGCTTTGTTGTTTCTACACCATGATACCTGGGGTCAACGTAATGGTAAAAAAAGAATTTCTAATATCATCCTTTTGCTCTAACTGGGTTCAAAATCAGCTTATTTTTATGTTACAGCATAAGAGGCTCCCTGTGAAAAGGAGACAGAGGGTTATATGGTAACTGGATACCCCAGTGACAAGGAAAAAAGACTGCACTGCATTGGCACACAATTGAGAACAAGTCTGAAAACTGCTCATCTACAATACTGATACAGAATGGAGCAGAAGAAAGGAAGAAAGCAGAAGTTAATTACTTTTGCAGGTAAACAAACACAGGAAATAAGGTATCACAGGACCTGGGCTCTCTTTTTCCAAAACCAGAATTCCTTCTGGGCCAACAGATTAAAACGAACACACAATTCCTGGCTGCAAACAGTGAAGGCCACTCTTGCAGCATCCCCTCAGTACAGCCCCCTAAAGTGAACACCAAGGCTGTGGCTTCCAACCACCATGAATCCAGCAGCCCCACAGAGCCACAGCAGCAGCTCCAGGGACAAGCTGGGGACAGCGTGGCTGGACAGTGCTCAGGCAGAAAGGGACCTGGGGGTGCTGCTGACAGCCGGTTGAATATGAGCCAGCAGTGTGCCCTGGTGGCCAAGAAGGCCAATGGCCCTGGTCTGGAACAGGAATGGTGTGGCAGCAGGAGCAGGGAGCTCATTCTGCCCCTGTGCTCAGCACTGGTGAGGCACACCCTGAGTGCTGTGCCCAGTTCTGACCATTCAGTTTAGAACGTTGTTGAGATGCTTGAGCACATCCAGAGGAGGCAACAAGGCTGGTGAGGGGCTGGGAACACAAACCCTGTGAGGAACGTTTGAAGGAGCTGGGGCTGTTCAGCCGGGAGAAGAGGAGGCTCAGGGGTGACCTCATTGCTCTCTGCACCTTCCTGAAGGGAGGCTGCACACAGCTGGGGTTGGTTTCTGACAGAACCAGAGCACACATCTCAAGCTATGGCAGGGAAGGGATAGGTTGGATATTAGGAAGAAATTTTCACCAAAAGAACAATAAAGCACTGGAATGCTCTTCCCAGGGAGGTGGTAGAATCACCATCTCTGGATGTGTTTAAAAAAAGCCCGGACATGACACTTGGTGCTGTAGTCTGGTTGAGGTGTGAGGGCACAGGTTGGACTCGATGATCTTAGGGGTCTCTTCCAACCTCATCATTCTGTGATTCTGTGATTCTGGGATTCTGTGATTCTGGGAGTCCTGTCTGAGCCCAGGGCCCCCCTCCTCCACAGCCCAGTCACACCATGCCCCTGCCTGAGCCACCTTATCTGCAGCACCACCCCTGGAACAGGAGCAAGGACTGGCCACCCTCTGAGGGGCAGAGCTTGCTCTTACCTGATGGATTTCAGGCTTCTCTCAATTGCTTCTGGGGGAATGAAGTTGGTGGCAACATAGTGGATTTTGTGAGGAAGGCAGAAACTCACTTCCAGCCAGTTGTTGATGTGCAAACGAACAACCCCTGTGGTGCAGAGACTAAAACAGGAAGGCAATCAATCCATACAGCATTTACCCTCAGTCACAAATGAAAACTGTGCTCCAGGGTCACCCAGAAATCAGATCAGGAAAAGACTGAATGCACTCTGTCTGTCCCCAGGCTGGCTGAGGACCAGCTGGCTCCTGTAAGGGCCCCCCCCAGCTGGACATAGAGAGCACCAGCCCCTACAGCATTTTAGGGAGATTTGAGAGGCTTCACCACTGACCTTCTGCTCCCTCTGCCCTTAACATTGCAGCAGTGTCTCAAGTTGAAGTAGTTTATTCAAGATCTACTGCAGGGCAAAGGAAAATTCTCTAGGCCAAAGATGAACTGGGCACAGTCCTCACCTCCAATTTCCATCTTCCCTCCAAGCAAAAGAAAAGAGGATGTCTGTACTGGGCAAGGGCTGTTCCAAGCAGCACATTTCCACAATAACAGCCTCCTTGTGCTCTGCTTAGGTTGTTTGTTTCCTTACTAACCTGTTCCTGCTTGTGACATGAAATCACAAATGTGCCTGTTAACGTGGTTTCTTCACTCTAGGAAACCACAGGGACTGAGCTGAGCCCTTCAGCAGACTCCAGACAACAGGACTGGAGCAGAAGCAATGGATATCCCAGGAATAATAAAGACAGTGAAGTCAGACCCTGGTGATCAGCCTGAAAGCAACAGTAAGCCTCTTTTACTAAAAAAAAAAAAACAGAAAAGCTGGATATTAGAGCCAGGATCATCACTCAGGTGCTTTTATACAAGTCTGCAAATCTAGATAAGAGGTGGAATCCACCTCAGGAGGGAACTGTATTTACTTAAAATGGGGAATGTACCATAAGAATTTAAGGCAGCACCAACCCTGCAAACCCTCCCAATATTCCCATTCCACAGGCAGGGGATGCTGGCCTGCAACAGCTGTGCTGGGAGGAAGCAGCAAGGCCCACACCACCTTTCCATGAGTTAGGAACACATAAACTTATCAATCTGAAGAACTGAATTTGTCAATGCCCTTCAATTTTAAACTTTCTTCCCTAAGAATGCTTTCTGGCTTAAAATCAAATTTCAAAGTTTGCACTCTGAAAACTCCAGCCTGAATTTTAAATTCAAAGTGTGTTGAGACTTGCAATTTGACTTTTGTGTCAATAACTGCCATGAATTTCCTCCTCTACACAAAACAGATTTAAAAACATGTCAGGAACAGGCCAGGAGCAAATACACTTCTGGAAAAGTCTTTATGTGGTGATTTAACCATTTATAACCAGCATTCAAGTGCAGGTCACAAACTAACATGCTCTTTTTCAAAGTCATCTGGCTGTGTAGAGGGTTTGGAGAGAGGAGAAATTTCAGCTTTAAACAAAACCATGGGGTAGCTTTGGCTGCTGGTGCAACTACTCAGCAAACCACAGCAGAGTGGTGAGGGAGCAAACAGCATCCCCTCCCTCCTCACACAGGATCACACTCATGGGGAGCATCCCCTTCAGACAACACTTCTCAAAAGGTTTTGTTCTCAAATCTTGCATGGAACTCTGGAAAATGCTGATTTTTCAAGTTGCAAATGGAGCAGATACTGTGTGTTTTCCTTTTTTTTTAAAAGGCACTGAGAGGATGAACCCAGTGTTTCTCTGGCCCCAGCAGCTCTGATCTGCTCAGGGGCTCCCAGCCCTGAAGGAACATGCAAAGCACCAGCACCTCTGGTTTAGTTCACTAAATGCTGCAGCTCCAGTAACACTGCTTACCCCACCACAAACAACTGGCAGGTAAAGCTGGATTCCCTCAAAATCCATCAGGGAAAAGGGCTGAAGCTGTGGTTATCCACACCAGCTCCCAGGCCAAATCCTCACCAGGGGAATCAAGGCAAAAAGGAAAGGGACCAGCGAGTTCAGAGACCACCTGAAAGCTCCTGGGGTTGTAAAAACAGCAGAGATACATGAAAGCATGAAACACTTGCAGGGACATTTCCCCTGCAGAGTTTAACATTCAGACAAAGATCCAGTTGGTTCCTTTCATTGTTTGGTCCAAGTGCACTAAGGCAAAAGGTTTAATTACATAATTACACTCTCCACAGCATAATTTTGTCTGCAGTGCACTACACAACAAGAGCCTAGAATTAAAGACAACAAGAAAACCAGATTTTCAGTTCTGATCTGGATCTTAATTTTATTCTTCTGCATTTGCATTCAGCTGTACAATTTCCAGCCTTCATTATAGCTTTATGAACACAATTTCTCCTTCACCTGCCCCTCCTTGGATGGAAAATAATTAAGTGTCTGTAATTTGACAAGGAACAAGCTGCACCCTCCAGCAGCAACACTTGCAACTGCCCTTGGCCAGACAGCAGAGTTAAATAATGTCCCCAGTATGGACACAAACATTCAGGCAATAGGATATTAAACTCTCCAAGACATTTTATTCCACAAAAACTTTGTTTCAACACTTTTTTTTTAATCTCTGGTTGGTAACACCTGATGAATGATCTGAGGGGTACATGGCCAAGGATCAGGATGATCAGATAACAGAGCTTAAAACTGAGACAGGGAGAGGCAAACAGGAAAAAGCTGTTTAATGTCTCTCCATCATAAGGCCCATGAGACATCTCATGCTACAAGAAGGAGCAAAGTTCAGAAGAAATAGAAAGAAACACAAAAAGTAGTTAGAACATGGAGCTCCTTATCAGAGGATGCTGTGGCTGTTCAATATTTACTCTGGCTCACAGGACTGTGGGCTAATTCCGGGAAGTGAGATCAGCTGGAAGCTGCTGAATGTACAGAAACCCCCCAGAGCTGCAGGAAGCTGGGGAATATTTTAGGGACTATCACTGCTCTTTTGCTCTGTTCTGCTGTGTCCTGAGCTGGGAGCTACTCCCCAAAATGAGAACATGAAGGTTTGCCAGCATCTCCCAGAACTGCAGCTTTTTCCATAACTATTCACAAAACAAAGAAATCCCACTTCACATTTATACAGAGTTATGAATTTTTACATACACACAGCTCATATCACATCTATCCTGTTTATATCAGGAATTAGCCCCATGTTTTTGAGTGTGGTGGAGGTGAGCTTGTAGCTTTGGAGTTTGTTTTTCCTAGAGGTTGAGACTACTCAGAGCTTTGAAATGATTTCACATTTCCTTATAAAGGACAAAGGGCTGTCCTTTGATAAATAACTGTAGTTGGATTATATTTTACAGCACAGCCACAGAAATAACATTAAGTCTCATAGAATCATTCCCTGAGCTGAGATGGTCTAGATCTACCACACAGTTGAGTCCCACTAAGCTAAAAATTTATAAAGGCTCTTTCTGTACTAAAAAGAAGAAACAAACAATCCAAACCTCCCCAAAAACCTCTAAAATTTCAAAAAGGCTCTTTCTGTACTAAAAAGAAAATACAGACAATCCAAACCTCCCCAAAAACCTCTCCATACTTTCACTTTTATTCCAATGCAAAGCTAAGAGAAATTTGCTAGAACCAGACAGGCAGGCAGTAACTATTAATCTCACATATTATCTACAGTTTCAGATAAAACTAAAACTATGTGAAAGCTCCTCAAAAGAGACACCTATTGTAACACCAGTAAGGTTTTCAGCATTGAAGTCCTGAAAACTCTTTTGGGCCTAAAAGCCATTGCTTTCTGTTCCACACCAATGCTTCAGTTTGAGGATAAGATGAATGAAGACTCTCGATTTTCTGAATTAATCAAAAAGAAACATTCTAGTTTCTCTCCATGAGAGACAAAATGTCCCAGGAAGTAGAAGCTGAAACCTCTGAGCTGTCAGTGTAACACCACTCCACTGCTAGTCAAGATGTCCTGGCTGAACTGATCCTGCCTTATGGAACACAGGCACCTCATTCAAAAGCAAGGAACACTTTGAACAACAGAATTATTCCTCTACTTGTGGTTTTGCACAAACCAACTTGCTCAGGGAACATGCTGGGTCTTGCCTGAAATACCTCAGCACCATCTACAGGAAGCCAAGGGCTCGACAGCACCTTTGAGCAACCCTGGGAATCGGGCTGGAATTGCAGAAATCAGCAGGCACTTGGAAATGCTGGCTGGAGCAAATCTCAAACAGAGAGCTGGGCTCCATCTGCAATTCAAAGTGCTCCCTCCACTCCGCTGGCTGCTCTCCCACAGCCAAAGGCTATGCCAGAAGCCTCTGTAAATTTAGAACAGCACTTTGTCACTGCATGCATCCCAAGGTTCACCCTTCCCAGCACTCCCTTCTCCTTTAAAAGCAACAGAGCCAATCTTTCCATCTTCCCTCTGAGGTCATTCACACTCCTCCACACTCTCTAGGTGGCCTAAATCCCCCTTGAAATGTGGTGTCCAAACTGGATAAAATATTCATTACAGCAGGAGTTTTACAACTGTGAGCAGGACTGGTGCCTATCTTACAGACAAGACTTATTGTATGCATTCTTGTCTATCTGGGTTTTTTTGTAACCCATGTCACTTATGACTAACCCTCACTTCACAGAAGACCACACAGACTTCACTCCAGAGCTGCTGCCACACAGGAATAATTAATTCATCCTGGAGAAAAATGTATTTCTAGAACCCCTTTTCTTCCTTACTAAAAAGTAATTTTAAATCTATGCCTGCCTGGTAAGGTGCTGCAGCTCCTCTAGCTGATCTGACTGCAGGTATAACAAGCATATTTCCTATGCTCTCATATGAAGTATTAATAGAAAAGCCCTGCAGAACATTTCCTTATCACCCAACAACACTGTCAGCTCCTTTTCAAGTACAGCTTTCCAATCAAGCACACAGGCACTTCAGATTTTTTACCAACACCAATAAGGTCTCACATTTGCTTTTGACAGTGTCATACAAAAGTGTCAAAATCCAACTTGCACCACTTCTTCCCCACTCACAGTGCCTAAATGAGGGAGAAACTGCCTTGTTTTACAGCTGGGGGCAGCACCAAAGTGCATTTCTCCATGGTCTGTCTATTCCTCCTTATCTCTGGGAAAGCTCACATGAGCTCTGCGTTCCTACAGTCACAGCTAAATGCCACAAGATGTCACTGTGTCCCTAAAATATTTGGAAACATGATTAGGGTTTTGCCCAGTCATAAATACATAGCCCTAGAGGAAGAGAAAAATATAATTGGAATATTAGAATTACAGGCTGCATAAAAACTGCCTTCCTTAAAAGTTTAGTACTTAAACTTTAGTGTAGGTTTTGTGCAAGGTGTGTGTAACCACATACCATATTTCTTGAAACAGATTAAATTCACAGCTCTGGAACACAAAGACCATCTTAGTAGAAGTTTTCTGATGCTTTTTGCTATCATTAAATTATTTAAGCTCCCAGTGCTTTACCTTACAGGGCTCTGATCCCCTCTGTACATGAGAAGCCACAACCCAGGGAGGACAAAGGGCTCCCTGAGGAACTCCAGCCTGATTCCCTGATTCCCTGACAAACACCCCAAGCAAGGGGCACAGCATCTCCCCCCACACACACAGAGGTTCTGTGTCCCTCTGTCCAGGCCCCTCCCCAGGCACAATCCTGGCTGCAGGAGCCTCTGGGCCCCAGGAGGCAGCACTGACAGCACAGGCTCCTGCTCAAGCTCAACAACAGCCCCACACTGCTTTGAAACCTCTGCCAGAACTTCCAACCCAGTCAAGAAACAGCATGTGACACTTTCCATTCTGCTGGAAGCCTCAGCATCTCATCCAAATTCGCTGTCCAGACATGCACAAATGGGGCCAGGGCAGTACCTGACCTGCCATCAGTGCTCCTGCAGCACTTTCCCCTGAGCTGCAGGTTTAGAGCATTTCCCCAGTGCTGTGACACCCCTGCTATGGCACTTGTCACTTCTACACTTCACTTGTCAGTAGGTGGCCCTGTGCTAAGGAAGAAAATAATAATTCTTAAAGCTGTGACAGGCATCATCAGCTTTTAAGAACAAGACACCAAAGACAGACCAAGGTAATGATTAGGATAGCAGTTCTGCAAACATTTCACCTGACTTCCAGGCTTCACATTGCTCTGCCTGGTTTAAAACCCAAATCCCAATGATTAACAGCATGAGGAAGTGGATAATATCCTTAGGAACAAAGCCAGGAGATTTCAATGAGAAACAGCATACCATGAGCCAAGACTGAAAGGCTGAAATCCAACTTACCTGTCATATGTCTCTTTGAGATCTCTGGCCAGTTTGCACTTGGGTAGGATGTGATGAAAAGGTGACTGGGGCCCTTCTGTGGCTATGGAAAGATTCAAAACAAGAAAGTAAATAACTGACTTCAAACCAAAGTGTTTCCTCTTCCCCCACTGGGTATCAACATTAGTGACAGAATTTTTATCATTTTATCTACAATTACCTTTCAAATCTTTTACAATAATTCAAGTTACACATTAAGATGATAATAGTGAATTATTGCCAACTTCTGCTAAACCTCAACTCAGTTAAGCACATGTAACCAAATTGGACAAATGATGACTTCAAAAGCTTTGTTTTTCTAGATGTTAGCTTTAATTTTTAATGCTTGCAGCAAGATAATGCATCACTGTCAGAGTTCACCTTAAATAGTCCACATTGTTATGAGCATTACAGTTACAGAGCATTTTCCAAGTACAGTCTATAAAAATGCTCTGTAACTGTTTGCTAGCCAGGTAACAGCACATAAAAGTGAAGCTTCCCCATAAGGAGTCCGGTGACTCAGCAGACAGCATTAAAGCATGCAAAACTTGCTCTAGGTTGGGTGAAGGAGGCCACACAGGAGCTCTTCCATGTCAGCCTGACAGGGAGAGGCAAACATGATGGCTCAGTGCAGTCTCCAGGGATTCTGCTGAACTTAACTAGCAAAGAAAGCAAAGAAACTGCTTCACCTGTCACAGACATCTTTTATGAAAAATCCTTTCCTTAGGATTTTTTCTCCTGAGAAGCTGAGAGGCCTCAGGAACAAAATGTAAACATTGATTATCTGCTGCTGTGGAATGCAACAGGTGCATCTGTGATTGGTCTCATGCAGCTGTTTCTAAGTAATGGCCAATCACAGTCCAGCTGTTCAGACTGTCTCGGTCAGTCACAAGCCTTTGTTATCATTCTTTTTCTATTCTTAGCCAGCGTTCTGATGAAATCCTTTCTTCTATTCTTTTAGTATAGTTTTAATATAATATATATCATAAAATAATAAATCAAGCCTTCTGAAACATGGAGTCAAAACATAGAGTCATTCTTGTCTCTTCCCTGATCCTGGGACCCCTGTGAACACCACCACAAACCTCTAAAACTCAGCCTGAGCCAAGTTCACTATCTCTGCATAGGGATAGTGAACTTGGCTGAGGCAAAATGAAGGGAAAAGCTGTCAGAATGCTACAGAGCACCAAAACTTGGTCACAGCGATCCCAGGCACGAGAGAAGCAAGAAGGCACAACCAGCACCTCCCTGGAAGAGTGTCCCAGCTGAGAGCCCCAGCTGCTGAAGGCACTCACTCTCTGCCATGGCAGACACCTCGTCCTGGATGGCCAGGATGAGCTTGGCCTCGCGGGTCAGGTACTGGCAGCGGCGCTCCTCGTGCTGCAGGACGATGGCGATCCTGCGCGACAGGTTGTGCAGGCAGCTGATCACCGACGGGTCCGCGTTGGCCTGCGGGGAGCACCAGCAGCCTCTGAGCCAGGCAGCCACAGCCAGCATGGGGAACAGGCAAATGGTTCCCACTGACACCAAAAATCAGCCTCTCTGCTGGGAATGAACAGAATTTTCTCTACCCACAACCAAGGAGAAGCTCGGAGGGGTCCAAATGTAATTTGGATTTTTAAGCTCGTTAAGTGCGTGAAAGGAACACCACACATGGACAGGGACAGCTCTGTCTGGGTTGCTTTTCCAGTTGTTAACCTTCTACCAGCAGAGAGCACAGATCTCAACTTCACACAGTGAGACAAAACAGTGCCAAGCTTTTTGAAAAGGCAGAATATCCCAGTGTTCAGGTGAAACTCACTGGCAGCACAGCACCTTTAACATGTCCCACTAACTCCACGTTGCCACACTGGTGTTTGCCCTCTATACTGACAAGGAACTAACTAGGTAACAATTACCAGCTCATGACCAATATTTTCATCCCAAATCTGTATTAATTTGGATTTATGCCCCCAAAAAATTCACAAATATAGCTTATTGCTAACACTGCATTTATGAAAGCCCCAGAAAGAAAGTGCTGGAAAAATCTATCACATCAGTACAGCTGCCAAGGGGGGTGAGGGGGAATTCACTGGCTCCAGCATGAGTCAGCAGCTGCTTCATGTTTGTTAAGACCTTTAAAGGAATTTAAAGTTCTGGCAAGTGACCACTTGGCACAGAAAGCTGCAAACTGTGACTCATCAGTTTTTTGACTGCTGTTCTTGCTGAGTCACGCCACGCTGGTAGCCCTGAAGCTCAAACACAGCAGGATCAGTGCTGATTATCACACTTGGGCCTTTGCCTGCTCTGTCTGCCCACTGCAGATGGACACTCATCTTTATCTCTGAGGGCCTCCACCCACCTCCTGCACTGCACTGCTCCATCCCAGGAAAAAATTTCCACTTGCTTCTTGCCCAACAATTTCCAGAAACCTGACTGCCCCTGTGAACCAAGAGTGTCTCACTTGGCAAATGGATTTTGTGCTGCATCACACACACAATTACATCAGTATCATCTCATGGCTGAAGGGCAAAGAAAGCAAGTTTTCCTAGAAGCACTAGAAATTAGATTCCAGAAAAATGTGGGCTAGTCTTCACTGTGAATGAAAGAGCATTGGTTTCCACACTTCTGCTGCCACATGGCTCAGTGTGCATTTGTTAAAGCACAGGGCTTTAACAAATCACCAAAACAACATCTTTTAACATGAGAAATCTAAAATCAACTCCTCCATTGCAAATTCAGCACTCCCTGACCCAGCAGTGTCCTAAAGCAGAGGAACATTGGATTCCCAGCAGAGCTCTGTAAACAATTTCTGGCTTGATTCAGGCACTTGTCCTGTGTGAAACCTTGCTCCTCATCTGAGGACAAGCCATGCAGGCTGGGGCCATGTCCATGTCACCACTGCAAAGCCAGTGGTAAGAAAAGTACTAAAAGAAAAAAAAAATTCCTTTCATAAGCAGGGAGCTGGAGGTTTAAAAATGATGACATTGCATCCAGTTGAGCACAAACCAACCATTTCCACAAAGATGACTATACCAGCTCCCTCTTTTATTTTTTAAACAACCTGTGGACTGGGAAAAGAAAGCCAGAGCTCAGAAATCAAGCAATGCTTGAACATAATGAAATTTCTAGAGCTTTATACACCCAATTAGCCAAGCCAGGATCCCTTAACAACAGCATCCAGTTAATAGAGGAGGCCTGAAAAAAATTCCAGCCAGAAACTATGAATTTGTTCTAGGCTTTTGCTGAGCATTGAAACCTCTTTATTCTTCATTTGTACCTTCTTCTCATTTAGCTGCTCAGCTGCTGCTCCCTGGCACTCTCCCTTTACATTACCTCACTGCTGAGAGGAGGCAGCTTTCAAACACTGGCCATTAATCACAAAACAAGCCCGGAGTGTGAGCCTACTGCATTGTCTCATGCATGCAAGCACATCCCACTGTCAGATGGAATGGAGACAGCCCTTACCCTTAGTGCAAACACCACGTTGAACAGAATCATGGTGGGCATCTCTCTCTTTGGTGAGGGATCAGTTTTGGATACCTGAAAAATATTTTTTAGAAAATCCCATTGGCTAGTGTCAGCTGGAGAGAGTAACAAAGGGAAAGTAATTTTTAAAAATTTTAAAAATAAAGTTAAATAACAAGCTGAGAAAAGAGAGTAGACAAATCAATATATAACATCAAATATGACTGGCAAAATATAGAACTATGCTTTTGTTTTTAATTGGAGGGTCACAGTTACTCTACAACACTGCCTTTGCTGAGCAGCTGTGAAAACTTAAACCAAAGCCTTTTAGTCACAAGCATGGCAATGAGTGTCAGTTAAGGCAGCACTCTTGCTTAGTGTCTCTGTTATTACATTTAGCATCATTAGAGACCTTGGGTTTAAATGCTTTAGCACAACTGTCAGATGTACTGTCAACAGAACTCCACAGATCTCAGGCCACACCTATTCCTTCCTTTCCTAAAATCCCCATTCAAATTTTATCCTGTTACAAGCTGCTGCTTTTATCACACAAAATATGCTCTAGAACAGCAGTACTAAAATAAAAGGTTTGATTTTTCCCTTCCTGCAGGATTTCAAACACATTTTCAGCCCCTCTATTCTCTGTGTAGCAGAGATCTCCATTCCTAAGGCAGATTCAAACTTTGCAGTGAGAAGAAGCAGCTGGAGCTGAGACAAGCAAGTGGAATTTGCGCAGCCAGACCAGCTCCAAAGGGAGCACGTGTCACCACAAGATGGAGCACAAAATGCAGGGGACATTCCCACCTCCCCTGCAGCTCCCTGCTCAACACCCACCCCATCCCCAGAGCAAACAGCTGGAACCTGCCAGCCCAAACAAAAGTTGGTGTCTACCCAAAACATGTGCAGCACCTGAGCCAGGGCAAGCACAGCAGCATCTGCCCTTCCCCACAGGTTCCAAGCACCAGCAGTGAACTGCTCAGGACTGAACTCCAAAATCTGACTGCTCTCACTCAGGAGTCTCTACATTTAGAAACCAGGAGGTGATACATATTTTGGGGTTTTTTTTGTCCTAAAGTGAAAATTACATTCTGTCAGAAAGGCAGTGATGGGAGAGTGGTAAAGGCAGTTTATCTGTTCTGGAGTAACAGGTTCCAGGACATCCTGTGAATTTCCAAGTGTAAGGACTGATCCTGCTACTCCCTTAAAATCAGAGAAAGTACCACCACTAACATCAGTTGGGATGCAGGCTAGATTTCATATCAACTCACGTCCAGAAAAAAAGAAGACTGAGCTGGAAAAGAAAATGCTGAAGGAATTTGAAGAATTCAGAACATTGCTACATAAAAAGCAATCTGGCACACAGGATTAAATGTTTGTGCTCTTGTAACTCCTGAATCTCATTGGAGTAAAAATTCGCTGAGCTGTCCTGTGGATTAATTTACTGCAGTATGGACTCTGAGAAAACTCAAAGCAGAGGCTGCTGGGTTACTCCAGACACTGCCTGAGCTCCATGGAAAAGCAGCTCCATCTGGCTTCCTCCTAACTGCAGGAGGGTCCCAGATTTACACTGACACAAACCAGCAGAGATGGCTGCCACATCGAGAACATTCTGGACTCTAGAAAGTTCTGGGGTGCCTCCTGGGGTGATAAGACACACCCAAAAAGTTCCTTCAGAAGTAACAAAAAAGTATTTACAGCTCCTTAGAACTTTATTTATTTGCCCAGATGCAATTTTATTTAGACAAACTGGAATGAAGTGACATTTCATGCAATTAGGATTAAACTGATTGGAAAGAATCAGTTTCCAATATGTGATCTTTTTCATCACTTATACAATAATAAGTGGTGAAAAAGATGCAAATACAAATTTTCAGCCTCGTTTAGAGCACATTTAGGAGGCTGAACCTTTCAGATGAGATTAATAAAAGAAAGGAAAATGATCTGAGGGAGAACAGGCCACTGCTGTCAGAGCCTTGAGGGCACCAAAAGCTCTTAATGGCCCAGGCCAGGACCTGTTCCCACACAACTTCCCCCAAAATCCAGGACTGGGAGCCCCATTTAAGCTCAGCCCAGGGCCTGGAGCTGTGCCTGTGTCCAGGATGGACCTTGGATCTGTGTCTGTCTCCTGGTTTAGTACATCCCACCCTTGTCCTGTCCCCTTCTGCTCCTGGTTGGGGTCCCAATAAAGACCCTGGGCCTGGTTCCCCACTTTGCCTTGTCTGGGGCTGCTGATGGATTTGCACAGCTTGGGCACACTTGAATCCTGTCTTCCAAGGCAGTTTAACTTTTCAGGACTGAGTCTTGGTGCTTCTCCATGACATTTCCTGCAGACTCACAACTGAGTTCCCAAAGTAGCATCTTTTGATGCTTTAGGGCTGCTCCTCACTGGGATTAAAGCAGTCTGGTCCTCTAAATATCATGCAGCAGTTACCAACAAGCTGTTTCCACCTCTAATTATAGCGAGAAAGCAGGACAGAATTGGCAAGCAGAATTTTCCCCTGAAAAAAGGAATGACTTAGCAAATTTGATGAAAAATGAGACCAAAGAAGTTCAGTGACAGGGATCAGCACTGGATTCAGAAATTACCAAAACCTAGTTCATTCCTACAGTTGAGCAGGAAGACGGAACAGGACAGGGAATATCAGGAACACAGAAACAGGTGAATTCTTTCCTGGATTTAAGCAGGGCCTTTTACAGTCCAGATAGCAAATGCTCTCATTCTAAGGACCTAAAACAGGCCATGGAGGAAGGTCTCAATGCAAACATAGCCTGACTTGGTCCACAAGAAAATTCTAGATCTCTTTCAACATCCTACATATTCCATCTAAGTCTTGTGGATCATCTTCAGCCTCAGGAAAAGTTAAAAGCCAAACAAGGCTGACGCAGCTTTTAGCATTTGTGAAGGTTTTTGGTGGTGTTTTTTTAACTGCCACACTAATTAGAGGTGCTAAAAGCTAACTTGCAGTAACTAAAATAGTGAGAAACAGCTTTTGGAGTTGGAGTGCCCAGTTTTACTTCTCTTTACTCACACTGCTTCCCTACAGTAACCAGAAGAGTTTCTGTGATCGCTGACAGCTCCTCAGTTTGCCACTCACTCCACTGACCCAGAATAAGGAAAAGACAGCTTGGAGCATCAGGGAGTAAAAGCAGGATCAAAACCCAGCATGCCCATTCTGAATTGCAGGTTTCCTCACTAAAGCCAGGCAGTTTGTGAGGAAGGCAGGTCCCAGAGGGGATCTCATACCTACCTGCCCAAGGGCATGCTGGAGCAAGGTGGGATGGCCAACAAAGCGAACGTTATCAATCTTCAATTCAAACTTTTTGCCACACATATCTGACTTAGTAGCCAAAATTGTTGCCAGGATGACATCTGAAAACCTTGAAGAGCAGGAACAGAAGTTGTTACAGTTTTCAAAGAGCACACCCCCAAAATAGTTCTCCAAATACGGATATATTTAGCTCCAAAGTTTTTAAGGCGTTGTAAATTGTGACTAGATTGCTGTACCCGGAGTACCACCAATTATGTAAAATTAAGGACCCCTAAATTACATCCCTCAGATCATCACAATTATAAAACAGGAAGCGTTCACAACAAAGACTGCAGGGTCATGCTCATTTAATTACATGCTCAGCAAAATACATTGAAAAGATTAGATGCAGTTTGCTTAAATATAAAAAGAGCTGGAGTTAGCCATTGCCTGGATTTAGCTGCAGGTTAATGAACTAACTAAGCAATTACATATTGACACAGCCTGTCACTCAAGCACAACAGAGATCTTTAAGCCACCCAGTATGGCAGAGGGGAAGGCAAGAAAGAGCTGATTCAATTAAAAAGAAACACAGCCAACGCTTGTCCTTCCTTTCCCAAAGCTCAGCATTCCAAGCTCCTCATTTAACAGATCTCCACCTGTGCTCAGCAGACCACTGGCACCTTCCAAGAGCTGCCTGGCCTCACCTGGGCTTTCTCATTTGATAAATCACATTCATGACAGGCCAGGCCCTTCCCAATGCCCAGCCCTGGGGTTACTGAATTGCTCTGGACTGGTGAGGGCAAGGCAGCAGCTCTGAGACAGGAGGGCAAGAACCCACAAGGGGTCAAAACCAGCTAAAAATCCTGTGTGACAAGGGAGGAATTCCACAACTGCTCTCTCTGATGGCCTCACAGCATTGGTGTGGTCTCTACCAACACTTGTTTTCCTCAAGGTGTCCCCTGGGACAGTGAAGCCCAAACCCACAGGGAAGAGGATTCAGCTGCTAGAGTAAACTTGTTGCTCTAAAACAGGAGCAGTGCAAGGCTTGTTATTAACAAGTTCTCTCCTCATCTGTTTTACAGAAGCTCCTACTTGACCAAATGAATTTCAGACCACTTTCTGATGAGAGCTGGTTTTTAAGAATGAAAATGTTTATTGCATTTTGTGTATTTACACCCAGGGATGTGTGCCCCTGCCAGACCATCCCCCTAGAGCAGGCAGGTAGCCCAGATAACCCAGTATCACTCAGAGAGGAGGGCAGGCATGGGTGTGTGCTGTGCTCACCTTATCTCGTGGCCACAAGTGAGCCCTCCATGCCCAGAGAAGAAAATTAATGTAGCTTAGTCCTGCTTCCCTCTGAGTCATGCAGCACTACAGAAATTAAGACAAATGCACTCAAGGATACAGGGGAATTCCTTTTATTTACAAATACTGGAGATGAAGGACCACACAGGTCCAAACTGAAAAAGCCCCTGGTGCTTGTGCAAACAGGTCACTCTGACCACAACACTCTGCTTATGTTTGGTTTATGGAAGGAGCAGCTGTGTACAAACTTCCAAATCCCTGGCTGCTCTGCTCCCAACTCCAAGCTAAGGGCAAGCAGAGACTAGCCAGAGACTCCTGGGGCCACTGAGCTCCTCAGCCACTGGGCTGCACAACCTGGGAATCTGGGAGCAAAGGGCAAAGTGCTGGAACGGGACCTGGACTGACAGTCCCTGGAGATCCCATTCAAAATAGGGAAAAAGTCACCATGGCAGCAGTGAGCTGCTTCTCCTCCTCTTTTTGCCCTGCTCAGCAGCTCGTTAATAGGCTCATCATGGAGCCAGGAAGATGGGAACAGCAGTGGATCCAAAAGGAGCATATGTCTGGGGGGTGAAGGGAGAAGGAGGGCAAACTGGAAAATGTCGGCTTCCTGCTAAGAAATGAGTTACCCTTCCCTCCTCCAGCCTTGGCAAAGGATACCTGGGAGCTGATAAACTGATCATTCTGGTAACTTCCACAAGGAATTACACCAGCAGGTCCTTTAACAGATAAATGTGGTGCTGAAGGTGGGAATTCAGCAGTTTCCCAGGGGAGCTCTTGACACCAACAGCCCTGTATGCCCTCCCTCACATGTGGCTCTTTGGGGAGGAAGAGATTAAAAGGTTGATTTTGGAAAGTCCTCAGGATCTTCTCACTAGCAGGGTCTTCTGTGTCTGGCAGAGTACTGAATTGCAGCCAGAGGAGATGCTCAGGGACAGAATCCTGACACAGGTGCACCTCCTATCACCACAGGCTCTCCCAAGAGTCACCTGCACTCCAGCCCCATTCTCCTCTCTGACAGCCTGGATTTATAGTTTTGCTGTCTGGGCTTTTTTAACCCCCAGTGCTCTACATAATTTTGACATTTCTTAGGCCTCAGGACAATAGGGAAATCGAGGAACAGCAGATGTGTTATTCCCATTACTTCAATTAGTCACCTCACCTTAGAAAATGACACTTTAAATATTTCAACACACATTTTCCCATCTTTCGGGTATGTTAGGATGACCTAAAAACACTGACTTCTCAGAGCCCAAGAGTTTGTTAGAAGCAGATCATGTTTTGCAGTTGGGCAGTAACCCTTCTCCTTTTATGAGATTAGTCTGAGCATTGTGAATTCCAGGGGGAAGCAAACCTCTTCTGTACTAAGGAATTCAGCAGGCAGAAAGAATATACAATAAACAAAAGCTTTGATTTCTCCAAAATATTCTACCACTCCTCTCCAGAGCACAACATAGCAACAGCACATTGAAAAGAAGGGGGGGAGATTCAAACATGAATTCATTTTTTACCCCAAGAATGGATCATAACTTTTTATATGCCACAGGAATTCAAAGCAAGGCTTTTATTAAGAATTTTTCTTTGAAGTAGTTCAGAACAGGATCTGAGTATGTAGGTGAGGTTTATGTTAAGCAGGGACTAGAGATGCTTTTTTTCTCCCTTCTGGGGCCCTGAGTTAAGCACTTTTCCCTCTCTGTGTGTAACCATCCCATTGAGTGGGGCACCAAGAGCAAGCAACCAGCACAGCTGTTCAAACCTGGATCCCCTGAAGAGCTCTCCATCATTACCCTGGGATTAAACAGATTACTCACTGAGCTGCACTTCCAAGCCACTGCTCCTCAGAAAACAATTTGATTCAGGGCTCCTTGTTGGAATAACTACAATGCCAAGGCTATACTTGCTGCATTCCCAGAGCCTCCCAGCTTTTCCCAATTGACAGAGGGGACAGTGCCACACCCATTCTGGATTCCCTACAGGAAGCACAGAAATGTTAGTAGGACCTTGGTAATTATCCTGGCACAAACCTTTAGCAATACATTTCCTACAGACACTGTGATTTAGCATATGATTTTCTCATCATTCAGTGTAAAACAGAAACCAGAAACAAAAGCACAATTAAAAGGATGGTGAGAAAAGAAAGCCATTCTAGACAAAGGTGATTGTTTAGAATGTTTGGTCTTACCCTGAAACCAATTGCTCATCAGTTAGAGGACATTGGTCTCTGAAATGGGAACATGGCCATAAACACAAAACAAAACACAACAAAAGAAAATAAACGAGGCAAGTACACAAAATACAAAAGAGAAAAAAAAGAGATAATATTAAAAACAAGGATGAACTATTAAGGGTTAAATTCCTGCAAAGGAAATATAACTGTTGAGGAGAGTCTGAAGTTAATGGAAGGTGAATTCCAGGGATACATTGCAGGCTGTTTGACAACATGGAGAAAACAGGCTGAGGTAATTTAGTCCTTGCACTAGCAGTGGCTGCTGCCATGTGTTTTCCTGCAGTACACAGCATTCATGGAGCTGATTTCCAGGACACTTTTTAATTCATGCTTACCTTAAGAGAAACAGCAGAGGTTGCAGCCTGATTTAGAGCAGATTCTAAACCTCAGTTTCTTTCCTAGACTATTGCCATCACTTCCACCAAAGAAGCTCCCAGGCAGCCCCAAACAACCCCCAGCTCTTCCCAGCTGGTTCTGGTGCTTCCATAGCCACAAGACTTAGGGAAAGAGGATGCCAAGTGTTTGTTGTTGCAGGATTCTGTGAAGGGCACACACAGGCACCACTGCAGCTACAGGGATGCACACAGCGGGCACAAGGCTGGCCAGACTCACAGCACACTGAAAAATCCTTCCCTGCCCCTCTCTGTGCCCCAGGCAATAAGCACAGCTTAGGAAAAGGAGATTGAAAAAGCTTTCAAGGCAAAGAATCCCAAACCCTTCTTTACAACAGGTGAACAGAGCAGCACTGAGTTAGCACCTGTACTCACTTTTACACCAGAAACACCTGTTTCCATTTTAACATCCAACTGCCACTTTCCCCCCCAGTTAAGATTAAAAAGGACTTGTTTCATAAAACAACTTCCTAAATGTACTGAAAAATTAATCTGATAAAAGCTTTCTACTAACCCACAGGAGAAAGGGGAGGCAAACTGAAAACCTCCAACAATTACTTAATACAAAACACAGATTTCTGCCAGTGATGATGAAAAGAGAACCTAGAGAGCCCAAATGACAAACTGCACCATGGGGTGACATGACAGGAAGGGTGTCTCAAGGAATGGGTGCATGAATGGAAAAGCACAGGCTTACAGAAAGGAAGCCTTTCAGAACAAATACAAGGAACAACACTGGAGTCCAGTGCAAGAGGGACAGAGGAAACAAATGTTATCACAGGAGAACTACTGTTTGTTATAAAGGGACATTCAAACCCTTGTTTGTCAGGAACTTAGGGGTTTTTATAACAGAAGCATTTGGTAAATTTGCTAAAACTCCTTCAGTTAGTCAGCTCTGCTAATAAAAATGCAAAGTCTGCTGTAACATATGTTACTATATGTGCCTCCTCATTAGAATATTTGCTTGCTGGCTATACCACCTTCAGAAAAACTACAAAAAAACCTATTTCAAACCAATTTAACATAGCATTATTTTATGGCTTTAAAGGAGTAATTGCCTCATCTTTTTTCAGGGGAAAGAAAGAAGACTGGCAGGCATCTCCATAAACATTGGGAGGGGGTGTATTCCTGGTAAAACACTCAGAAACTGAAGGATGTTTTTGAAAAGTGCAAATGATGAAAGGCTGAGAAGAAGCCAACAGAGACACTTGACAAGCAATTTGTTTTGACAGTGACAGCCTTCTGAATACCTTTTTGTTGCATGGCCACCATCAACACACCTCAAACACTTCTGCTGCTCAACTTGCTTTCAGCAGGAAATAAAATATGTGCTCTGGAGACCCAAACACAGCCCCATTGAGCAGAAATGAATACAAGCAAACACACCCCAGCAACCTGGGGAAGGATTATCATGAATAAGCTGCCATTGTCTATAAAAAAACCCAAAAAGCATAACAATGACCAGGAAATTGAGCCTGGAGGCTAAAAGAAATCCAATTATCTGTACAAATATGCTACATGGAAATGGAGTTAAGGCACCTAAACTGATCTGATTTTGTCCCTCCTGAGAGCATTAAGAAAGGTCAGTTCCAAAGTAATTGATCTGGATTCCAATAGCTATGGGGGAAAAGCAACAGTAAATCTTACCTAGGACACAATTGGTACTAGATTACTAATAAATTAAAGACAGGCATCCAATATAAAAAAGGATGACTCCAAGCCTCTTAGGAACTATTGCAGCTACAAGAGAAATCTGAAATAACCTTTGTACTGAGCATGCAGAGGGAAAAGCCCAATCCTACAACATTATCAAACTTGCCATACACCACCAACTCAACCTAGAGTCTGCCCACTCCACAGTGGGCACCAAAACCCCCCATGGGAGCTCCTGACATGCAGGGATTGAAAACAACCTTCTTCCAACTCTTCCTCGATGAAGTCTTCCAAAAATAACACAAAACCACTTCATAAATTACTTTTATTGTGGACAATTTCAGAGGGAAAATCATCAGAAAACAGAGTGGACTTCATGCTGATGAACTCTCTCCATGTGCACCGAGTGTCCAGGAAGGGAGCTCTGCACTGCAGAAGGATCTTACAGGGATGCAGCTGCCACTGAAGGAATGGCTCTCACAAGACCAGTTGCTCCATTCCTGGTCTCTATAACCTGATCCTCAATGAAAACACACACACTGAAGCAAGAAATTCCTAATGCTGGTGAGGAAAAAAATCAATTATGATATTGGTTCTATGGCATATGAAGGTTAAACTCCTTTCCTTTCCCAGCTCACAAACCAGGTGCATTCTCTCTCTCCAGGGATCTGCACTTTTCTGCCTCCACTCTCCCCTTGGAATCTCTTCTATCCCAAGGCACCACCCTCTGTTACTCCTAAAATTGCCTGATACCAATCAAAGTTGGAGCAATCCATTGCACAGTTTTGAAGATGCCTTTTTGTCTTCTGCTGGAAGAAGCATCTGTGTACTTAAAACTTGCATTATTTTTTCCACCTCACCAGTCAGTGAAAAACACAAACTTTGCCAACAAAGCTCCTCTTGTCTAATTTAAATTACCAGCACTCAGTATATAAAGAGCATGAGCATGTTCTGCTATCAGGTACCACTGCAGAGGACACATTTAACTGCTACATCAGCTGTGTGGGATGCAGGGGACTCAACAGTGATGATTACACTGCTGCTGGGAAAAAGCTTTCAGTAATCAGACTGGAAACAAACACAATTTTGAAAGGGATTTTGAATTTCAGAGAGCAGATGCCCAGCCATATAAGCAGAACCAGCAGTGTGGAAATAAACTTTCAGAGCAACAGAAATGTTGCTGCTCTTCTATTTCCCTTTTCATATGCATGGGAGATACAGACAGCTCTGAAAAAAATCTTTTACTAGTAACAAACACCTGACCAGGAGATTAAGCATGAACTGTCATGCCCAGTGTTCTGGACATCACTACAATGAAACAATCTAAATATTTGTTTAGTGTAGGTTACATGCCACCACATTCAATTTAAAAATCTGCTTCAGGAAACACCAGCAGTTTTCTCACCTGACCATCATCTGAAATGATAAAAGCTTTTCCTACATCACTGCAGTAACCACACATTGTCTCACACCAACTCAGCAACACACAATAAACACAGCCACACATCAAGGGCTTTGCCCAACCTGCCAAAACAGCAGAGGCAACAAGAATCAGTGTCAGACAGGAGTTGGTATCATTCCAACACCTTCTTAATCCACCGAGGGAACTTGGAGAGCCAGGGGTTTGAACACTGAGCTCTCCTGCTGCCCACAGCCCAGCCTGAAAAGCCAGCCACCAGTTCCCCAACACACACATGGTTTGCTCTCCCTGCAGCTGTGCCCTGGCCATGCTGCACTCACTGCACACACAACCAGAGGTTGTGTTTGAAGGTTTCAAAGGCATCAGAATGGCAGGAGATACAAATTACCTCAAGCAAAATGTGTTTTCATAAGATCCCAGTCCTGGAAAATTAAATTAACTGATGATGTTTACAGTCATGTGGGTGATTTTAATTTCAGCTAAACCACTCTCTGCCATAAAGTTAACAACAATCTTACATTTACAAAGTGATGATTACTTCTTTAGTACCCTTATAAAAGAGAAGAGCGGCAAATACCTCTTTTCTATTAATATTGGAGATTAAAATACATATCAGAAAAAAGATCTGCAAGTGAACTGTGGGCCAACAGACAAAAAACCTTTTTCTCTCCCCAGATTTCTCTCATATTTAGTAGTGATAAATTTAGAATTATGCAGCAGATTTCAAATGCTCAGCAAAACCAATTAGAGGGTCCATCCATAAATACACACACACTGAACACCACACTGCCTATTTTCAGTGCATTTGTTACCCTCTGATTTCCTGTACTTAAAAAATGCTTTTCAAGTGTCAGCTTCCTTTTGAGCCACTGTGTCACTCCACTGACACAACAGCAGCTCTGTCTGGAGAAACAAAATTAGTTATTCATTAGTGCACAGCAATTCCAATAGACCATTACATGAGCCACGGAAGAAGATGAGGCAACTGAAAAATATATCCAGTTAGGAGTAGGCAGGTAAAGGAAAGTGGGATTTTGCCAGAGGATTAATACTCCTAGTTTTGAAAGGGCAATATTGCCTTTCTAACCAGCACAGAATAGCTGATCTTGCCCAGGAAACAACAGATTCAGCAGCATTCCCTGCTGAGACAGTCCTCTTTCCTAAGCACTAAGGTGCTCATAACTTGATATTAAAGCGTTTTTTGCCAGGTTGTCTTCTACAGAGTCCAAGAGAATGGGCCTAGGAACTAGGAGGCAAGAGAGCAGGAGGCTGTCACTCCTCCATTCCAACCTCTCAGGCAGAAGAAATGTTTTCCCTCCTACCTGGAGTCCCCATCTTGGTCTTCTGTGGTGTCACCAGAGCCATTCACAGCATATCGACTCCTTGGTTTGTCTGAAGCAAAGAATAAAGATAAATTTACACAGGAAAAATCTTAATGTGTGTGTGTATGTATGTCTTTCTATTCTCACTCAAAAGAACATTAAAAAAAAGGGAAAATTTTTATCATTCAGGGGATGAAGAGGAGAAAGTGAAACATACACAGAAACTGACACAGGTAACAGCTTGCAGTGCACGAGTGAAAAGTAAAAGTCTGACCAATGCAATTTCCCTCCTTATTGCTCAGGTTTTGGGACAATTACAATGCTCCCAAAGTCATAGGAAGGGAAATCCTTTATCAACAAAAAGCAGGAGGGGGGTGGCAGGGAAACAGTCAGAAAAAAAAACAAAAAAAACAAAAAAAAAAAAAAAAAAAAACACCACAACCAAAAAAAACCTTTCCACCTTTCCATATTTCACCTATAAATATGGAAAGGGAATTAGAGATGATTCTCTTTTCATAAACTGACTCACAACCTAAGCAGGGGAGTTAAAGGGGAGTTAAACTTCTCCTGACACCCAGCCACTAGCACACAACCCAAATCACACAGCTCCATCACCCCACAGCACCTTTAGGCCCTGCTCTGATACTGGTCCCAGTCCAGCCACAGGCACTGTCCCAGATCACGTGCCTCAAAGTAAGAGGTGCAAGCAGTGCTGGCACCTGAATAATTCCATGCTCCTCTTTTCCAGGAGAAATTAAACCTCCTCCAGCACAAGACCACAGACTAAAATTTTTTAATTCCTACTCATTATTGATTAAAGCTTGTAGTGTTTACTGAATCACTTCTTTCAAATCAGCGCCTTCCTCTCATCCTGCCTCCTCCTTCCCCTACAGCTTCCAAACCCCACGGGATTCACCTGCCCCAGGTGGACACCTGGCACTAATGTGGTTCTGTTGATGGATGAGAGGGTCCCAGGGCACCTGAGGGGAGTGAGGGCACTGCAGGGCAAGGGCTGAAAAGTGCAGAGTCCCATGGGGAGCTGTGAGGGGTGCCAGGTCCTCATGGACAGGGGGAGTGAGGGGAGCCAGGTACCCACAGAGAGTGTGAGGGGTATGGGGGGATGACAGGTACACACAGGCAGTGTGAGAGGTGTGTCTGGGAGGGATGACAGGTACCCACAGAGAGTGAGGGGGGGATGACAGGTGCACACAGAGCGTGTGAGGGATGTCTGGGGGAGATGACATATACATACACACAGTGTGAGGGGTGCGGAGTGCCAGGTGAAGGGTGCCAGGCCCCCATGGACAATGTGAAGGATGTGAGGAGCCCCCACGGGCGGTGTGAGGGGTCCGTGCGGGGTACCAGCCCCCCAGGGGAGGATGCG